TTAATAACATGTGGGAAGACCTTGAGAGGTCATCTTGGCTTAAACAAAACAAAAAGTTCCAACTAAATTGAGAATTGGTGATGGTTAATCAAGACTAACCATGGGGTAGAGTACTGAAACTAAATGACCAAGAGCCCCCTTTGGATTTTATCTCTCCACTGAGATGTAGTGAGTTCATTTACATTCAATGTATGTTTTGCTGGTTATTTGCTGTATTCAGAAAATCCAAAATGTCTCAAGTCTCATGACAATCAAGACCTTCACAATCTGTAAGTAAACCTTGTAAAACTTAGTAAGCTAGTTCATTTTTAATTAGCTTAGGGTGGTTAGGTGCATTATGTTTGTGGGTTATCCACCACATGCTTGACTTAATGGTTAAAGTTGTTATTGTTGTCTGAAATGCTCCAGTATATTGTATAGCAAAAATCTCTTGTAGCTTGCAATTATTCTTTTAGAAGGGGTTTTGTTCCTAATCAACATGATTTTTTTACTGGGAGCAGAGCCACCTCTCTACAGTTAGTCAGTTTAATGCCATACTGTGTATATTTAGTGGAACATTACATGGAGCCAAGCAAGTGGTAAACTCTCTACCAGAAAAGTTACATAGTGTACCTTTAATGCTAACTGCCCCCTGAAATAGTACCTATAAAGCATATTACATCTAGTTTCTTTCCCTGTGTCATTCATAAGTCCCTGAAGTTTGTCACTGTGGCCCCCCCAAGCCGCAGTCTGCAGTCTCATTGTCCTCTCATCATTGTCAGTGTCAGTGTCAGCTCCATGCACAATACCCCATGGCCACCCCACCGCTAACACTGCTAAAGCTTACCCTGAGCAGGCTGGGCCTCCCGAGTCTCAGCTGTCAGTCCAGTGAGCTCTACTCTTTTACTGCTGGCGTAAAAAAATTCTAAACTTTTCCAGATTTTGATTTTTGGAAAGCTTGCACCAAAGATTAGCCTGCAGTGAGCTACAAGACAGGACTGAAAAAGAGATTGAATGGGCATTTTCATTCATACCAACTAATGGGTGGTCTTTCTACCTCCGAAAAGAACAGTATAGAAGCAGCGTATCGAAAAGCGCTTCATACAATGTCACCTCCAACAATAATGTGCAGAAACGCTCCGGAGTTGGGACTTCCTGGAAAGACGTTTACTTTGACCCACTCCTTTTTTTTGCTAAAGGGATTTTCAAAGGCCAAGCGGGGAAGCTGTCATGAACCCAACCCCCCCAAAGCTTTTCACCCTGCTAGCCTTCTTTTCCTTCTTTTCCAAGCTTTGTTTGCTCAAGAGGTGTCAAAGATAACCGTGTCTTTAACCCGCAAAGCTCTACCTGGAGATTTATCCATCACTCAAACTCCACTCGTCCAGGCCGCTGAGGCCAAGTCATTTGTTCATTCAAAAGAAGGCATTAGCAGGTTCCTTCCAGATGTCAGCCTTTCTTTAGCATTCAATGTTTGGAAGTTTGCACACTGCGTCCCCGGACAACAGGGGGGGGTTGAGGTGAGGTGTTGTGTGAAGCAGGCAGGTGGGGGCGCTTTGCCTTGCTGGTGTTGTGCAAACATAGACTATGGAAATTAAGTCTATAGGGAACCACAACCGACGCATCACTGTCTGTCATCTCACTATGGGATACACACATACACACAAGGAGGATAGTTGCGTGGGGCTGACAGTGGCTGCATGCAAAAGACGCTTTGATCAGTTTCTCTCAGATCTCAGAGCTACAGCTTCACTGCCATTTAGTACTGTTTACACAACTTTATCTCCGCCTAGCACAATACCTGGAGTGCTCATCTTTATCAGCCTACACAAAATGTATGGAGAGTATTTGCCTAAACCTGATTCTATAATACAAGTTTAGTTATTATTGTTCATTTCCAGACAGCGTTTCATTAGCACAAGCTTGTCCATTGAATAACTTTCTTTTAGAGCATGCTAGTTATTATGTGAAATCCTTAAGCAAATGTATGAGACAATATTTGGTCTTTTTTATTCAGGTCGTAGGGTTTCTATTGAAAGATTTCTATTAAAGGTACTAAATTGACACACAAGAATAATTATAAAATAATTATCTCTATTGGCTATTGTATTCATCAAGAGGTATAGTTTGACTTTGATTACTGTTACGTCACTGTCCCAGGCCTGGGAAAATGACTTCTTGTGAGGCATCTGGTATAAAGGTAAAGTGACCACAGAAAGAAAGTGAAAAAGACTTCTTTCATATTATGTAGGTAGTTTGAATTATCACTTGAAATTAATGCTGTTGCAGAGTAAATATTTCAACTTGATTTCGATACTAAGAAAAAGGTTTGTTTTTCAGTAGTTTTAAAATTAGGTCTGATAAAGATCAAGGATGTTCTTAAACTATTTAGGAGATCAAATGACCATCTTGTTTCAGTACTAGCATTGGTATTGATTCGTATCTGATACTTTTGACAGCCCTACTTTTTACAAGACTCAGTATTAGTTTTTACTGTGTAATTTTTTTCCACCAAATCAAAAGTTAGAAACTCAGCACTCACTCTTCACTCTTGTCACTTCACCCACCTTGCCTAGTATGAAGGTGTTTGGCATTATATTTGTTTAGGATAGTATAAATAAATCTATAGTAATCATTACAAGGTTGATCATTGTATGCAAAAATCACTTCATCAGACATATTAACTTAAAATATGAAATATCACGGGGCATTTTTGTAAAGCGCACACTGCAGATCTGAACTGGTGTATGCTGAGGTCACTGGTTTCTGTTGGGGGTAGCTCTAAATGAGGACCACCTGGACTACAGCTAATCCTCGTCCCTCAGGTCTGTCTCCACTTCATGCACTCATGCCACAGGATTTACACAGCCTCTATTCGAAACAGGCCGTCAAGTTTATCTCTTTGTGCTTGGTTTAGTGAGAAATATAACAAAAAGCTGTTTCTTCTGAATGATGGCTCAGGGACAGTGCACGTGATTGTTGTAATGTGGGAAGAAGACTTTGTCATTACTATAAAATGTTTTCATATTTGGAATTTTTCATAACAGCGTGTTTAAATGAGTTCGGACAGTCCAGTATAGAGAACATTTGGTTCCTATTAAGATCTAATGCCATGGTAAAACTCGTATCATCAACTAAGCCAGTCACTTTGCCTGTATCAGATAGGACTTTGCTGTACTATGTATGTTATATCAGTCAGTGTGAGACAGCATAGTGACCACATGTCTATTCATAGATTACAGGGCATAATTTGATAAAGTACAAACTAGACACTGTGTTTCTTGTTAGCTGCATGAACAGAAGAGCACAATCTAACATTATTTTGAAAATAATAGAGAGGTAGAGTTTTGTGTGGATATTTTATGGCCATATGTGTAGCTGTAGTAATATATATATGTTTTACATCATTGAGAAATAACTTGCATATAGTTAATGATAGGAAAATGTATTTAGTGACAGAATACTGAATACCTGCATTAAAATGTATTTTGTACTATATTCTTATATATGGTCCAGTCAGCGTACTGTAATTAGAATACTTAATAATACTTCTACACCAAGTTGCATTTAAATTATTGTATAAAAACTAGTGATGTAATAATAACCGAAATATTGCGATATCATATCGTCAAAAGTCTCCCAGTAATATCGTGGACTGTCACAATATGTCAAATTACAACTTCTTTTGCTTAAATGCATGGTTTTATAGTAGCAACAGCTTATGAACATCAGAAACTACATATCTCATGATTCATTTCAGTGTAAACAACATGAAAATATATGTTTTTTACTTAAATTCTTGGGATTATGATGGAAATAATTCACACCAAAATCTTTATTTTTTATTTTAAAAGCAAAAATGAGTCCCATCTACAATTATATTAGCCTCCTCAAAATATCACAGTAAATATCATACAATGAGATGCACGTGGTGATAATATCGTACCTTGAGATTTGGTTATCATTACATCCCTAGTAAAAACACAACACAGGATTAAAAACTGTTTCATGGTTGTTTCACTGTTTTGCATTTCCTAGTATTCACTGAAAAAAGAGAAATGCACTCACCACAAAAGCTGTGGTTTCTATTTCACTCACCACTGCTGTGCCATTTGAAGCTTAAATTGTGTGATCAAGTACAACCATGTATTCCTTTGATTTGAGAAAAGCAGCTGTATTCTGAAAAAGTAACTACCAGAATACAGTTACTCAAAATTTGTATTCAGAATATGTACTCTTGGGACATGTATTCAGTTACTTCCCAATACCAACAACCTATGCTAAAGTTAAGTAGATATTGAACAAAGTGACCACTAGTATGCAGTGTTTAACGGGAAGAATTTGGAGAAGACTAATTTTAGACACTCAGCTATCTGTAAATATAGGCTATCTGTGCCTTTGACTTTTCTGGGTCCAGTTCAAGTGGAAGAACAAGGTCTTTATCAAGGCACACATTCACACATTGAAAAGATACTACAGGAAATTCACCACAGAGCTTCATCTGATTGTAGTGTGTTTTACAGTTTGTATGGTTTTATTTTAGCTTTAGGTTAAAATCAGATGAAAACGAAAAACAGAAGTGAGGATTTAGGTATAAACTGGCTCTTCATTTATATCTCAGTCAAAACATATGTCAAAACAGATGTTTGGCCTCAGTCTGGTGTAATACATTATACTGCAGAGACTAAGACCAAGACATTTATCAAGTAGAAACTTTATTTTAAGTCTCCAGTAACACAAAATTTCTTATTGAAGTTTATTTATATAGCACATTTAAAACAACTTCAGATGACCAAAGTGCTTCATAAAAACAGAACAAACAGATGTACAGACAACACAATACATGTGAATATACATATACACATATTAGAAAAAACATAATAAATAATAAAGCCTTACATTTTGACAGTGTACAAAATGTAAATAAAGCAATCCACTAGTTATTTGTTGTTGTACATAAATCAAGATTTATAGAGCATATTTTAAAACTATGCAACATGTAAATGAAAAAAAAAAAAACATTTGCCATTTAAGTTATTCTAAATTGTGGTGTGGAGAAATATTACTGTACTCCTGCTCCACAGCGGTCCTCCTCAGATTAGCATACATGTTCACTTCTTCATTGCATTTTCTTTTTTGAGCCCTGTAATTTAAAGACAGTTCAGTACTCTAGAAGTCATAAACATTTGCAATTACTAACTTACTAACTTTGTAAAGAGTCAGATATAGCGTACTTACTGTTTGTACTGGAAAATGACTATTATGAGCATGACGAGGCACAGGCAAAGGGAAACACCAGTGATGCTCCAGGGTACACTTACAGCTACAATATAAATCTTTTGTATACTATTCTCTTCATCATTAGTCTTCAAAACTTTGATTTATTATGACATAATTTATGTTAATGTGCAATAAAAAAAACATTAAATATACTAACTTACCATTTTTTGTTTCGCAAGTAGGGTTGGAGATGCTTCTTTGAGCAGTGAAATTCTTTGTTTCACTTCCCAGGTAGTTGCTGCTGACACATCTTATGGTAAAGTTGTAAGATTCTTGAATGTGCATGATTCCTTCTGCAGTTTGGCTGTCATTATACTTTGTGACGCTGAATTCATTGGGGCTAAACCAGTGTATAGATGGCAGGGGATTTCCTTGACTTATACACTTGCAAACAATTGTATTTTCTTTGTGAACACACTTAGAAGAACTTAATATTTTAGGTGGATCTGAAAGAAAAATGTAGTTAATTTGTAGGGGTGGGCAAAAAAGTCAAAATATCAATATATCGTATCGTTTAATGTGATGATACAGTATCGATATTGGGGGCTGCTGTATCAATATATCACCAAGAATATTTTTTAGTATAGTTTATTAAATTATTTTGTTACAGCTCTGCAGTTTTGTTGTTTGTTTGAAGGAAGGAAACTCATTTATGCGACACATTTGACATATTCACTGTTTTGATGATTAAAATGTTTGTGTTTCATTTTTACTTTGCACAAGAAGTGGTTTAACAAAGACTTTTAGTATCACAGCCAGGATTTAGCCTTTATTTTTTTATTGAACTGTATTGAATCGATTTGAAATATATTGTATTGAATCGAAAGTGCACTGTATCGAGATATGTAATGTATCGTGGCCTATGTATCGAGGTATGTATCATATCGGCAACTTCTTAATGATACCCAGCCGTATTAAGGAGAAAATAATAATATTGTTTCGTGGCACTTACATTGTACTTTCAAGATGACAGTTTTTTCAGTTAGAACGTTATATCTGTAATGCAGTCGACATGTGACGTTGGTGTTATGGTCCTCTGCTCTGGGGGTGATCTGAACTGTGCTAGTCTTCGGGCTGTACCGCATAATGTTGTGCCGTCGTGGGATGGGAGTCATCTTTGGCCCTGTCCATGAGATTTCGGGAGATTCTCTGTTGCACAGCATAGGAGCAGTACATCGCAGAATAGTTGGCTGTCCTTTGATAAGATTATGCATTGTCACCTCGGGGCTTTTTGTTGAAGCTGAAATAAAATGCATTACTTGGAATGTGTTGGATGTATACTGTATTAATAACAGTATAACAGTAGCAGTCTAAGTGAAATGTACTTCATTCTTTGTACTTACCAGACACAGAAACTTGAACAGTTTTTGGATATGTGTATGTTTTATTGTGTCCCCACTCAAGTCTCAAGCCAAAAACATACTCTCCTGGTGGCAGCGATTGCAATGTCAAACCATTGTGTCTTGGAAACGTTAAAGGGCCATTTCTCAATTCCGTATTTCCATAAAACCAGACCTCTGTATAAAGAAACGTTACATTTTTCCATGGTGGGGTATATTCATAAGGTATTTTAAAGCACTCTCCGTACATCTTTGTAATGTGCTTTGTTTTGTTGAAGGAAACAGTAACTGTAAAATAACATATACAACAGAGTCTTTTATCAATTTAAAATGATTTAATTGCTTTAATTTTTAGGCTTTAGTCTGCATCATACATACCTGTGTAATTTTGACAGAGAGTGGTCCTCACAAATAAATATAGAATTACTTGATGAATTAAACTCATTTTTTTTCAATCTGAAATGTAAAAGGTGAACAATTATGAAATTGTTGAGCCTTACCCTGTCTATTTGTATTTTACCATATTTTTTAAAAATCATTAACAATATTAAACAACTACATATTAAGATTATAAGTTTGTGCTCACCTCTCAGAAGCTGCTGAGATCTAGATTTGACAAACCCAAACAGGATATTTTTCTGTGTTGTGTGTGAGGAAGTGGTCGACACTTCCTCACACACAACCCTAGTTTGGCTTTATTCCAGCCATTAAAATTCAGATTAAAAATGTATTATGAAAATATACAACTTAGACTTAGACAAACCAAATAATTTCCCTTGTGGATACAAGGGAAATTATTTGGCCACAGAGCTCACACATCACAATAAATATAATAACGAAGAGCAAAAATATAAATGGTCATATCAATCAATCAATCAAACTTTACTTATAGAGCACTTTTCATACAAAAACATGTAACATAAAGCACTTACGTTCAAAAGGAGCAACAAAAATGGCAAGAAATAGTGACAAATATGGCATAATTATACAAATGTATTTGTTCAAGTACTAATAAAATATAGAAATATAGTACTGCCAAATGTTTAAAGAAAGAATCAAAAAATGACCGATGAGGTTTAAAGCTTATTGCAGTTGGTTATTTTTGCTTGTGTGCAGCTGTTTACGTGAAGACAGTGCGAACTGATTTTACTATCTATAGACCCTAAAGTCACAAGTGATTTTATTAGTGGAACATGTGTGTCTGCTGCCAGTTTATCACTGAGATCATATTACTGACCAGGATTTACAATGTAATAAATATCGGTTCAGCAGATATCATGGTTAGACATATAAACTGATGTAATAAGACATCAGTTACAGAGAGAGGGGCAACAATATTCTAATGTAAGTCAATGGGAGCCAGGGTTAGAAGGAGCCGGAAAATCCCGCATGTGAACTTCCTATTTGGAACGCGGCTAACGGCTTAGCTATGTCCATTCGTATATACAGTCTATGTGGTAAGCCCAGAAAGTCTCATAATGTTTGAACTTTTATTAACACAAAGCTGTTCTGTAGTGACTTAAGGGATAAATAACATCTACAGAACACACTTGAATCAGCTTTGTCTTGTTTTGTTTTTGGAAATAAATGCTGTTTTCATTCTCTGCACTTGTATTGGTTGATATTGAGTATGGGTAGATACTTAAACACATAGTATCAGAATCAGTATCAGAACTGAAAAAGCTGGATTGGTGTGTCCCTACTTAGCATCATGAATTTTAGTGTTCATATTAGGGTGAACAGCTAACTTAAACCCCCTGATTCACCATTGTATAAAAAGTACAAATATAAAGTGCTGACTGTAATCACCCCATCATTGTACGACATCCTTTTGAGAAAACTAAGATGGTTAGCTGCTCATATTTGCCCTCCTTCAGACAGCTGCCTGTGGAATGGGCTGCTCCACTTATCGCCGGACAGGATTAGTCCACAGTGTGACATGAGGAAGCACACAGTGAAATGCTCCCCATCTTCAGCGCTGGTGTTGATGAGCTAAATGGCCTTAGGTTATCAGAGCGGGTGTTCGGTGGCAGATTCATGGTACTGTGGAATCCAGTGCAGCTCTGTCAGTGTATCCTGTGTGCATATTCCACCCAAGTCCTCCGCAATGTACTGCTGTCAATTTAAACTGATGTGATGACATTTGCACTAGCACAACACATGAAAATTAGGACTAAACCAAGAACTAAACTTCAACAACACCATAACTAAACCAGGAAACATCCAAATCAAGTCTACATCAAAACTAAGTCTGCATTAAGAATAAACAAAGAGTTGAATAGAACATGACCATCAGGACTAAACCAGGATCAATGTGGTACCAAGCCAAGACAGGCTGTGTAAAAATGGACCTGCATGTCTTCTTAGTAGTTGTGCAAAGTTACTATTTCTTATTTGGATAACTGAAAGAACATTTAATACATTACTGCAACACAGGAAGTGATACCAAATCCCAAATTCATCGAAAATCAACAGCACCGGTTAGAAATGGCATTTATTTTTACTTACTATATGACAAAAAAAGTCACTAATATAGACTGTTCACAATTTCAATATTTAATTTAATTTTGTCTTATTGTGAAACATGTTCCAAATAAGCATAGCTTTGCGTTTATTGACAGGAGGACTGCCTGTAGATCTGTTGATTTTAAAGAGCTTTTCTGATGGAGTGCCTGCCACCTGCTTTTGTCCATGGAGATGTGATTGCTTTGTTTCACAGTATGGCATTGAACCTTTCCATTAGCATGGAGACTAAACCAGGCTAAGTTACATTTTCAGATCTGCTCACAGTCAGAATGCCTGTTTTTCTAGGTACTTTTGAGCTATAAAACCTGTAATTGAATTAATGTAAGGTAGATCGGTTTAATGTGATACTGCAGACTATTCTAAGCAGAACAAATGAAATGAAATTTCCATATAAACAAGAATGTAACAGACCTCCAACCGCTAAGTTACATATGCACCATTAAATGAAATGTCCAGACATTTTTTTGCACTTGTAAACACATAGGAACTCACTGAATTCCAGATTACACCATGACATTCTCTTAATAAATAACAGAAGCATTAAAATAAACCAGAATCCTATTTTCAAAGCTGCAGACAGAGGTGTGGAGGGAGAGGTCATCCTGAATGAAATTCAATCAGTTTCACAGTCAGTGGGACAGACAGCACTGTGGGGCTCTCCCTGGAGTCAAATTTGAACACAGTTGCCATTTATGTGATCATGCTGAAGTCATTTATAGTTAACTTAATATAATTTTTGTCTGAGTTCATTTGACAATATTAAACATGATCCCAGCCAACATTTATACAGTCATGTCAGGTCTTAAATTAGTATTTTAATGACATAAGACAAGCTGGGATGCTATTGGTGGTTTCTTCTGGTCCTCTGTATTTATTCTCCCAAGGTTCTTGTACACTCCTTGTTTAGACCTGATAGATGGCTCAGATATGGATTCCCTGGACTTGGATTATTGCTGGTGTGGTCATAGTTTAAATATTAATGACCATCATGTTATTCCATTGTATTAGAACTAGTTGTAAAAACCCTGCTTAAAAATTGTTAGTTTTTTGTGAAAAACAGGCCCAATTTAATCTTGTTTCTACTTATTTTCCCAGGGAGTTTACACAGCATTGGCAGTTCAGTGGACCTAAAGCAACAACAAAGGTTCAGGCTGGTTGCTTACTGGTAGAGCTAACACATATGGCATGAATTGTAGCCAGAAAAAGCAGCAGGCTCTCTATTTAACACCTCTGTGCTTGTAAGGTATTTTAAATGGTACAAATGCACAAACTGTTTTACTGCTCTAGCCATACAGTGCAATGGGATGACTAAAATGCTATAAAAGCTATTGAGGACACAACATGATTAAGACAGCATGTAATTTCGCTATGTGTCTGAACTTGAACATTTCACTGGGATGTGCTTCTGACTTAAATGCTGAGCAGGACAAAACAATATTGACTCATCTTTTGTTTAAAAAAATGAAGCAGGTCTCTTGGTGCAAGTTTTGGTAGGTTGAAATTGGATATAACTAATATTTATTTTATAAATCCTTTAAAACAATGACTGTACCTTCACATGAGTTACATTACAACAATATTTTAATACCATAATAATTAAGGGTTGTACTTTATTTATTTTGGAATAAAATGTAATATTGTATTTAGTGTATTTTATTTCTATCTGATTTGTACTTTATTGTGTGATTATAATTCAGCACTCAACTCCACTGCGGCATTAGGGATGAACCACAATATCGCTAACAGCCTTTTTGTCCCTCTGCCAGGTCATCCGTAAGAAGGCACTCAGGGGAGTGATGAGCGACTGCTGTTTTGACTTCTCACAGGTCTGTCCGCAGTGCTGTGAGGGACAAAAGAAGGAGGAAAATAGGCTGGCTTATAACACTATGTTTAAATACTGCTTAGTGTTTGGAGCCTTATGAAGCTCTGTTGTGGCAATGGGGGGTGGAAGAGGATGTGTCTTCTTTATGGATGGGAGTCTTAATCTGTCTACACAGTTTCAGGTGGCCAAGCTCCTTGATCACTGCAGCATGAGGAGCACCTGAGAAGGACAGGGCCAAGCAGAACGGAGCAGGAGTGGAAAAGTGGAGGAGGGGGTAGTGTGTTATGGTAACTCCTTCAGTGACATAGTAACCTGCTAGGCACACCCCACTGACTTTTCATTTATTTTCACATGACTTCAGGAAATCACCATGTTTAGTTAGATCTGTGTCAATAATGGAATATATTGTGCTCTGTGATCATCACTATAAACAGTGGCTCTGCTGTGACAATAAGCAAATTAAAGTTTGTGTATCCTCTGATTTGAAAATGAGGATCTTATAAAGTGCTAGAGCCTATAGTGCTACAAAGCTTTAAAAATAATAGTGATCAGCACTGTAAGAGTATTGCTTTGTTTTTCCCATCCATGTACTAACCAAGCCTGGCCTTGCTTAGCTTCTGAGATCTGGCGAGGTTAGACTTTACAAGCCGGTTTGGCCAGTACAATAATATTAGGAGTTTTTATGAGTTTGGTAATAAAGTAAAGACTGTAAGACGGTCTTATATTTAATCCATCAGTCTGCAATAAGTTTAACCACTCATAAATTTTATGGTGCTTTCTGCTAAGTCACAGAAACTCCTTTCTAGTTTTGTGTCATGTGTTACACTAGATTCATGGAATAGAACTAATTTTCTCTCCAAAAAACATTTGATCTCTTTTTATTTTATTTAACCCCCTGTTTCCTTGTTTTACTGTCACTTTTTACAGCAGTGCTTTGAGTGGCTGCTAGGGAAAAACCCGATGTATATGTTGCAGTAGAGATGACTGTTATGGCTGGGGAGTTGAGATCCCATGAACCAGAGAGGGAAGCTGCTCTGGTGTTCAGGGGAGTTAAGCCTGGCTCGTATATCACCTGAGTGTCAATGTGGAGAGGTCCCACTGCTGCCTTACACTGGGAACGATTTACTCTGAATCCTGGATACTTTCAGACATGTCCCACACAACCGCCGCTATTTGTGTAGTCATGTTTCTCAACACTTTTGATGTGGTCGCATGTAGTATTATGTAAACATGCAAAGTTACTTTGATTGTGTGGAGATCAGACAGGGTTAACGCATTTCATTCATGGGTGTCTAGAGTGGCCCAAAATTGTACTTGGAAAATGGAAATGTTATTGTATCTCTTGAAAACATATCTGTCTTGCATTTATTCAAGTGACTGTTTTATTGCTCTGAAATAATATTAACTGACACCAAGATATATTTTTAATATGCAGTGTCTCGGTGGGATTAGTAGGTTTAATGCCATACTGTGGAACATATACGATTGACAAATAACGTTGTGGCAAGAAGGCAGCAAACTCACCACCAGAAAAGTTCCATAGTGCACCTTTTAAGCTTGATGTGGTAGAAATATGTTTTATGAGAGTTTCATTTGGGCCATTTAGTGATCGTCATTGTTAAATATAAAAATAAGTCTAGTGATGGAAAAGCCACTAACGGCCTTGTTAAATTACGTTTACTGGCACCTGCACCTGTATTCCCTCCAGTGGATGATCTCACCTAGTCTTATAACAGTAATTTAATTCATGGTCAGTATTGTATATCTCATTGTTTTGTATATTAAGACTCAAAATAATGTGTATGTTCATTCTTAAGTCATTTGACTTGGCGTGAGGTGTAATAGCAGTGACAGTGATGAGAGAGATGAAAAGCTTCATTGGAGGCTCCCAGAATGAATAACGCATCAGGGGAGCTACAGTCTGGAGATTTCATTTAGACATGACTTCATGTCTGGACCTTGATGTAGTCTGTACTGATTGTTAAGTCCTAGTTGTCAATTTAGGTTTTTTTTGTGGTTTCATTGTATATCAGGGTTTACAGTTTGATTTATTCTGTTTCAAAGATCTGAAGTGCAGCTACTGTGACAATTGTCACTGTATATTTTGCAATAAAACAGAAAACAATGATATGACCGGTTTGGTTCACCACTGACCACAGCTAAAACAAGTCCCCAAAGCATTGAGTTCCAATGGAAGAGTCTGAATACAGGAAGAATCAAAGCCTTGATGTTTTATGTAGAAAAGAAGTTTACAGGATCCAAAAGTGTTTCCGGTGAGCCCACCGAGTCTAATCCCTCACAATGCTGTGACATTTGTCCTCAAAAGATGTGAGGAACAAGACTCTTTTCACATGTCCATCACATTTGTGCTGCACTTTAAAAGGCTGAATGATTAACGAGAAGCTGACCAGATCGCAGCCAAAGGAAGCTGACTTCTTCCAGAAGACGACAGTGAAGAATAAGCCATAATACACTCTCTAAAACACTCTTCATTATATCAAGAGTGAGTGTGTGGAATGAAATCAAATCATTCTTAACTTTATGCCTTTGTTGCACAGTGAACACATGAAACATGTGTAAAAATATGTATTGTTCATTTTAAAATATATCTTGTTCTTTGTACTGGGTCCCTTCCTGATAGTATCTTATTTGTTCAGACTTGGTGTCAGCACATGCTGTTATGATTTTACCTTCAATTACTTATTAAGAACAAATCCTATAATATCTGCTGTCTCAATGGTCATTTTACTCTTTCACTGGTCTGAACTTCTCAAGCTGCGGTCCACCTCTGCAGCACTGAGACTGTCCCATGTGTGGTGGTCGAGCCGCCACTCACCATTGGCTCCGGAGCCTGTAGGGGCGTTGCTTCGCAGTTGGTGAGTGCTTAGGGTGCAACGGGGGTGTTCAAGGGATGGCTAAGAGAAAGCGCACTTGGCACTGATCCCTCCTTTGAGCGTAGACTGTGGTTTACATTAAGCAGCGATTTATTGCAAAGGAGGGGGCAATGGTTCTATCATAAATAGCTCGCGTTTATAGAGGGGTAGTGGATGCATGTTTAGAAATGCAATGAGGCCAGTGCACTTTGCGAGAGTTTCGCCGCACAGAGCCTCCGCGGATCCCACGACCTGTTGCTGACAAGCCGGGGGAAGGAGCCTAGGAGACGGGGAGACGCGAGAGGGTTACTGCCTTGGAGAGAGAGCTCAGCCGGGATTTCTTCGCGGAGGAAATCATGCAGTTGGCTATATGGCTGGTTGGACTAATGTGTCATCTGTCAGCGCTT